GATCAGAATTTGGGTGCACCGTTGATCCGGGTGGATTTTGATCCGGGTTTTGGATGCTCATCCATTTTGGGTGTCTACCAACTTGAGGTTGGCTTGGATTTACTGATTTGGAGGATATTGTCCTCGGTATCCTCGGATGCTTACTTGGAGCATTATCCTTAGGAGCGGCCGTACTTCCCCTCCTCTTCTTTGGAAGTGGGAGTTGAATGGTTTTAATTTGTACCTCCATTCTTTCGGGCGCATTATAAGTAGGATAAGAGAATTTTGTGACACCCTTATTATCAGTAAATGTTTCTAGCAGATTCTTTGCAATATGATGCAAATATAAGACATTCTAAACAATTAGGTTTAGAATTTTTGGTACATGGATATGAGGATTGCTCTTTTGATTCCTGGCATTCTTAATGTGGTATAAATCTCCTCCTAATGTCTGGAATTATCCTCAAATGTGATCAACATACGGGCAATTTATAAATCCCTTGCAGAGTTACCTCTTGGGATCCCTAATGCCCATTGATATGTTGGGGTGGTGATATGGGTATGTGAAAACATACTCGATGCGCAGATGGGAAATGTTTGGCTGCGGCCAAAGTTTCACGTACATACTGCAACGGAGGGAGTTGTATAAATGCAGCTTGATGAATTTGAATTAACGATGCGGTGTGTAAGGCCGCATGAAAACAACTTAGTTCTGGTAAATTACAATTCTATTTTAATATGTCATGCAATTTGATTCTCAATAAAAGACTCAATAAAACCATTATTGGTATGGACATAAGATACTTGATATATAGTACCCAAAAACCAAATAGTTCCATATAAAATGGATTTCTCATATTGATGCTATGACCAATAGAATTGACAATAATTCTCAAGTTATCTCTATAGTTGAATAACCAAGGCAAATATGCCAAGTCTCGTTGACATCAAGAGAGAGAATTATTTGTACGCAACATTGGATACAGGTTATGTATGTGTAGTCAAATCGAACTGAGGATGTTTTGTTTAAGTATTGCCATATCCGTTGTTAAGAGAAAAATACTCCTCTTAGTTGTCATCTTGGGGTTTCCATATGAAAACCACATTGACGGATATCTCCATAATTTTAATTGGGTACATTATGGAATCAGAATACAAGAATGGATTCATGATTATTATTTGAGTACCAATAGGGAGTATGATAGTAGCACGACCAAAGCCCACTATCATGACATCGCGTCAAATGATTAACAAAATATTTCCTTGTCTCTATGCAAGAATTTAGGAATATTTTGCTTCCCTATATATAGAGTTTGTGGTGCAACTATCCACTAGGCAAAATTCCTCTTTGCATTTGGATTGACTCCCGTATAAGTCTATATATAGCATGAAGAATATAATGATATTCTTTGCAGATATATAGATTACATACAAGTTAATTAATGGAATATCAAATGTGATGGCACATTATTGTGATATTCAATTGAAATTGATGACAACATTTTATATTACAACACCAAAATGGGACGTAGATACTAGGTATGTTTGTAAATGGGAGACAAATTTTGGTCCCCAAAATGGATCAAGCGAAGTAAATTCGATGATCGTGCTCTCCATGCTCATAAGACCCACTTATTAATTAAGTGTTTGGTTGCTACTTGATTTTTTCATGAAACTTGTTGTGAACAACTGACCTTCCTGGTGGTGTCAGGTTGAAGATAGAAGCGTGCTTCATATCTTTATTATTGAGCCGGATATTTATGTCTAATGGATTTGTAATACCGATCAATTAAATGTTTCAAGGCATGACATTTCCAAGTTGTGTGGCTGTAACATACACAATTGGGACAAAATATGGTTCTGTCATATTTGGGAAATACCTTGACCCTAAGGAATGCACGGGGCTGCTACTTCTTTTTGCGTTAAATCTTACCATTAAAGTTCTTTAGATGACATTATTACATGGCATCGAACTTGTAATGATTCTGGAAATTCAATGTACTTCAGATGATAGAGCATCACTATAATGCTAATGATGATTTCTCGATAAAAGCTTATCATACACTTAGACCTGAAGTAATGTAGGAATTAATCTAGAATACATTTGGTAAGTTGTGTGCTTTCACGAAAACACAATGTTGGAGGATATTTTGGAACAACATAATTATATTCTCAAGTGGACTTAAGATCCTAGAGATAAAGTTGTGGCCAATCATAATTGGCATTGGATAGAATGACTGCCTTGTGTTGTTCGTATCACTCATTGAAAGCTAGCCATATAGTGCTTTGATTTGCACCCATTGAGATACACATACGTGTGACCTTGATGTATATGGTGCTTTATTTAAATAAAACTCCGTATTTAAATTGATCATAAGTGATGATGCTCTCTTATGTGGAGCATCAAATATTGCCATGAATCCATAGAACATCAAGTTTAACATTACGTCCATTGACCATGTTAGATAATGGTGACCATCAAGAGTAAGAGATCAAACTTTTTGCTGGCTATTATTCTAACAAGGTTTAAACCATAGATTTTCTGAATTTACGCTAAGGGTAAATTTAAAATTGCTATGGTGATGCTGTATTAATTAATACAAAATAAATAGGAGACAAGATTTGGGAGAACTATCTCTTTTATTGATCTCTGAAATATATTTATACAAGTGAAGGGGTATCACGAAGGGACACGACTGTTCCCAAAGGACATGCCCTTTGGAGTAAAACTAACTGTCTAATCCTATCCACTAATCTTGTAATTGATGGACGAGATTACTTCATAAACAGGTGTCTGTTGAGAGACACCGTTTCACAACAAAAACAACTAAATTCCTAGTTAGAGATTAAAGTACCTTCGAGTCGTGCGCCATTATGTTCCCTCAACAGATAGCTTAATTGACGTCAGAACTCTAAATTCCTCGTTTATATTTCACAAGAATTTCGAAGGCCGCTCAGTTCTGTGCAAACCGAATGCCAGCAACAAATCCAACAGGGTGCAGCGCGCCAAACCAAAACATATATGAAACGCTGCTAAATGCGCACAAAATCTCAATCCACATCGAACTGTACAAACCACCAAGCCGAATGCCAGCAACAAAGCATGTGACTATTCACTTAAAATCGAAGTATACCCATGATAGGACCTAAGTACGGAACTGATCAATTAGTAGCATACTACCATTAATCAACAAACATAAGGATATCCATGATGTAATTTTACTAGAGAGCAGTTTTAGACAGGTCCACAACTAAAGAACTTTTCATTATTCAGTCAACGATGGTGATCTCCTGATTATTGCATATATATGCTTTGTCCTAACCAAAGACTCCAAGTACCTCAAGCATTACAAGATTCCACATATTTACGTACACGCGAGCACGTGTGTATATACCAAAAAGAGTAAAATGCACCGTAGGTCCATTAACTTTTGAGAGGGTGTCACTTATGTCCATCTTTGAAACTGTATTTTTTGGTCCATAAACTCTTTAAGTAGTTCACCGGAGGCCCATACCCCTTCATTTGGTCTTTGGATATGACATGGCAGGTACAGTCAGCAGCTTTGACTGTGTTTATATTTGCGAAAACAACCCCGTGTTTCTATGTCTTCCATACCGTCATCACTAGGAGAGAGGAGCACGATGGTCTGGGAGGCCAGCTAGCGCGGCAGGCCCAGGGGCTAGAGGTGGCGAGCGCAGCCAGGGCGCATCCGCGTAGTGCCGGCGAGCAAGCGCGTGCTCGCAGGCTCGTTGCACGTACGACTCATAGGCCAACGCAGAGCAGGCAAGCCCATACGGATACTGGTCGTGCCCAAGCCACAAGGACGTGGTCAAGTGGAGTTCTGGACCATGTTGGCGTACGGCCGCCTCAAGCTGTTCACGTACGACGAGCTCAGAAAGGCCACATGCGACTTCGACTCGAGCTGAGGTAGATCGTCGACGAGGGTGGCTTCGGCGTCGTCTACAAAGGGGTGATCGATGGCGCCGTGAGGAAGGGGAAGCAGAGGGCTTCCAGGGCAATAGGGGGTGGCTTGTCAGGCATCTAATCTTATTTGCGTGCATGCACATCCATGTGGGTCGGCGGTGTCGTCGGCGCTGCACACCGTGAGCGTGCGTGGCGTTGCACATATGGAGGTGAGGATGGGCAGTTGGGCGCCGGCGCACGGCAGTACCAGCAGCCGGTGTGCGCCGTGCTTCGGCTCAGCACGTTCCTGTCGGAACGCCAACCGACGTGCCACCCACGCGCGTACCTACCCTCGCCCACGGGTGCATTGTTAAGTCAGATGCCGATGTTGCCGACCACAGCGCATGATGCATACTGTAGCCCTCTGTGCACGACGCATTTGGCCGCTAGTCGTCCCTCGCCCCGACGTACCACGGTACCGGTCGATGGGGCTCTTGATGAGGTCCACGAGCTCGCCCATCACAAGCAGTTCGAATTGCTGCCTGCCGAACCAGTCACGGAGGCTGCGCATAGTGGCGCGTCCCAGCGCTCGAGGTAGCCCTCATCAGATTCCCCACCAATAGTCTCTCGGAGCCCTGCAGCACCGCCGAGCCCTGCAGCACCGCCGACACGGCCAGGTCCACGGCTGAGTGAGCTGCGCATCAACCACATGAACTTTGCCTGCTCTGCGTGGCCCAAGTTAATTACCTCCGGTGCATTTTACACTAACAAAAACATATCGATCTAGGCCCCACCGAGGAAAAGAATTGCATGAGCACACAAAACTGGCTATCTACATGAACGTGAAAAGCAAAACTAGCCTAGGGTCAGACCATTACTGGAAGCTATACAGATGTCACTGCCACGATACGTCTCTGGCATTCATAAACTGCCAGACCAGCCGTCCACAACTCCATTGCTGAGAGCACACAAGAATGTCTAGTGGAACCAACCAAGCTTCGCAGATTGGCGGTGTGCTCTCATTCACTTGTTACCCTGGCAATTGCAAATTGGGCTAGTCAAGATGGCAGTGCATCAGGTCATAACCACACATGTAACAGGGGGAGTGGCAGAAGGTTTACAGGAATGGAAGATGGCCACTCTGAGGAGATCCATGATTTTCCATGCCTTCAGATTTAACATGGTCCCCACCACCATAGCTATATGATGCTAGCAACCTCCGCTGCAATCAGAGAGTAAATCAGTCAGCATTTTGGAAAAGAACAGTAAAGTGAAGAACAATTCAAGTACTATTGCAAAGTGTCATGTATAAAATATAAAAAAGCCATTATCAATATAATCATGCATTTTGAGGTTATTTCATAGCATGCTTATACATGAGTAAAAGCTGCAAAAGTTTCCAGAGAGATCAGAGCAGATCAGAGGAATGAAGAAACCAAATAACTTACATGTTGCTCAAAGTCAGGACTCCTAAGGTTCGTTGAAAGATTTCTCATAAGTAGTAGTACCTGTGTATGCCAATCAACAGACCAATGATCAATGCCAAATGACAACTCATATTAAATTAGCCAAATATTAACAATCCTAAGGACAATCAAGACACCAAAAATTCTCAATCTTGAATGGGAAAGAACAGAAGATGGCACTTCAAGGAATTCAGAGTTAAATAACATACTTCCTTTGATCACAAATACTGATTTTTTTTTTGTCACAATGTGGTCAGACTTTTTGGCACTGGCTACAAATAATTTATTTTGTTGGAAACATGAAAAATAATCTTGCCTGAAAAGCACTTCCATAATCTCATGTTTTTATTTGATTTTATAAGCTATTCTAGTAATAAAAACGTGATCATAGGTACATCCATGATCCATACATATTGGAGACCATGTTGTGCCCAAACCCAAAAGCCAAGTGTATTTTACCACGGGGAGAAATACTTGAATGTTCTTGTGCATAAAAACAAACAGGGATGAAGACATTGAGAACTATATTTTTCTGACCTTTGGAGCTAAAAGGACCTGGCAGTTCTAATTTCAAGGATAGTTAGACCAAAGCAGAATTTTGGTGAAACTTAATGAATACCTTTCTGACATTATTTATGGAGTGAATGATTTTTAGTGAACACTGATAGATTCAGAATATTTAGAAACTATATTTAAAACCCAAGAATGTTCCGAGTGTATGAGGCCCCAGCTATATCTAATAAGAGCCAGGACTAGCCAAGATAGCAGCAGAAGCTAGAAAATAGAAACAATAGTTATGCACAGAAATTGTAAAGTTTTCAAATGGGACACATAACAAATAAAGAAAGGCAAGATGCTTGTGAAATGCATGAAAAGAACTAAAAAGTAGAGCATGTATATAGAAGATGTACCGTTTCGATATCAATTGGATCCATCGCTTTTAACCTCTGCAAATGCCCACTTGTATCAGGATCAAATATGCTTCCTAGGAAGCTGTATACTCGGGCAAAATCTGGCATGGCTGCATGTGTGACCATGAAGAAGCAAAAGTAAGATGCATTTGCAGTGAAGGAAAAAATGCATTCACACTAAGAGATCTACTTTACAGATATGATGAACCGATGATGTGTAACTAGCATATAGGTTTATGTTGGAATCAAGGAGAGGTTCCCAGTGGAAGATATCAGAGAGTAAGAATAATACTTTTTTTTTATGTTTGGCTGGCATGGCTAAAAGGACAAGCCCAAGCACCTCCAGCCCTCAAGGGGCTTGAGATTATTAAATTGTAAATGTTTCTTGAGTCCCTCCAATATATTTGAGATGATGCAATTGAACATGATTATGCTTGAAACGGCTATGTTCTTAATAGCTTTAGTATATATACAAACGGGTAAATAGCAACTCAGATCCCCCAGGTACTCCTTACACACAAAAAAAATGGGTTCTTCTCCAAATCCGATAATAATGGCCTAAGAGTCAGAATACAAACCAAAATTTAGTAGCATAGCACGACCTTAATACAGAAATGGTTTGTATGCAAAGATATCAAAGCCTAATAATTTGACGAACTTAATTTCAACTGACCAAGGAGTATTATTCACTCTTTAGGACAGTAGCTAATTTAATCTGACACGATGAAGGAAAACACAGTTGGCAAAATGTTTGTACTTCTAAGCTCCTAGGTACCTAAGTACAACATAATGTAATTTAATCTGACATGAGAATGGAAACTGCAGTTGACAAATGTTTCTATTTTTCCAAGACCAAACACTTAGGCCATGCACAGAACAATTGCAAGGTAGCACAGTGCATGCTGCAGAAGGAAGTGCTCACCACGGAGTGGTGGAACCACATTTTCTTGCTCAACTACTTCAGAAGATGGCCAAGTACTAGATGGACTCTGTATGCTACTTGAACAGTTATTTGTTGCAACAGCACCTGCACCACCAATATGTGAAAAGTTATAATTGTCTCCACAAGTATCTATTTCTGTATGTAGGTCATAATGATTACATAGACCTTGAACATGACCAGCACTAAAAGGTTGAGCAAGAGTATTGTCCCAAGAAGACACTGCCACATTTGCATTTGTGTTTCTCACAGTAGCAGTATCCATAGGCATGACAGAACCTTGCTCCCTCTGGGTAGGTTGTTGTTGTGATAAAATAGCTTGAGAAACTGCAGGATCTAAATAAATCTAGTCATCACTCATTAACTAGAAAAAAAATCATGTCAAATAGCTATAGGTCCTTGAATAATACAAACCATGTTTAGATGCCTTCTGTGGATATGGATGAGCTGCCTTTCATTTTGGCCTGGGTGGGGGCAGATGCTCGCCTATACCATTCTTCTGAACCTTCAAGAAGTACTTCTGTGCATGGCTCCTTATCTATCAAAGGAACATTTTTTATAGATTGAGGCCATTATAAAGCTTAGATTTATTACAAAGTAATATTACCGAATGTCTGTAGCTAAAGATCACAGGCACTTTGAGAGCTATCGTTAAGGACTTAGGGCGGCAATGGATACCTGTATAACAGTCTTCGAACCAACATATGCTTCGATTTTCTTCCAATCACGATCAAAACTACAACAAAGAAACAAAAAAAATGAATCTGAGAAATGTCATTAAATCATTCAAGTTCTCACAGTAGCATCACTTCCAATTTACAAGCTATAAACAATTAAAGGAAAAGGCTATAGATACTAAAATACATTTGATATGTTTGGTTCATTTATCTAACCTTGCCCAGCCTGGCTAGAGGACAAAGAAAAACTTTGCAAGGGGAGGAGATCCTTAAACGTGCACTGGCACCCTTTAAAAGGTTCCAATGAAATGGGACCGTGCAACATCCAAATGTCCCATTAAATATCTAAGTGCAGTCTAAAATGACATCCTCTCTGCCAGATTGGAGAAAATAATCACCGTGCATTGAACTAAACACAACATTGCCACTCACAAGAAATAAGTGCACCAACATATGCCACGACAAACCCATCAAAAGCTAAGAGTCACCAGAAGATGAACATAGGTGCCCCCAACAATGACCACTGATATCTAACAGGTTAACAGAAACATTCTCCATCAAATTAGAACCAACAGACAAAACTAACAAAGAACCGATCGCCTCCATTTAGAAGCAGCACGTAAACTAGCCCAATTTAGCATTTGCAGGAGCCGTGCAGCAGAATTTAAGCATTTGCAGGAGCCCGAGGCAGGCGACAAATCCAACTACGCAACGGAGCAAGTGACCGCTACCACTCTCATCGACACGCCACCACCTATTCCCCAATCGACGACAGGGGGAGCGCAGAGGGAATCGGGGGCACTCACAGCTGCAGGGCCTCGAGGAACTTATCGTGCTCCGGCTCCGTCCAGCTCTCCCGCAACTTGGTGATGGTGTACGGCTTCCTGACCTTCCGGACCTCCTCCCCCGCCGCGGGCGCCGCGGCCGGGACCGGGACCGGGACCGGGACGGGGACCGCCATCGGCGGCGGCGCCATCACCGCCGCCGCAGCCGCCCCGCGCACCTGCTTCTTCCCGCCGCCGCCGCCGCCTCCTCCTCCTCCTCCACCACTCTCGTCCCCGCCTCCGCCGGTGACGGCGGCGGAGTCGAGCGGCTTCGGCGTGGTGCTCATCGAAACCATCAGCCGGTGGCGCGCCGGAGTGGGCTAGGGTTTTGCCTGTGTGTTCTCTGGCTTCTCTCGGGCGAGTGAATCGTCGAGGGCTCGAGTTGGTTGGAGGCTGAGCTGAGCTGCTGAAGAGAGCCGGGGATGGGAAATTGGAAATGGGCCGCTGCGGTTGCGTTGCGTGCGTGATGTGTGGGTGGATGTTTCGGGGCGGTTCGTTTTCGCTCGCTACCTCGCGTGTGGACACAAGTGCCCCGTCGAGACTCTGATGATGACGGAGTGCTGAGTGGCTGACGCTCCCGGCGCACGCGGGGCACGGGCCGCACGTCTCCGCCGAAGCGACGCCCGCTGCCGTGGAGGCGTGGACCACTGACGGCCGCGTTGGGTGATGATGCTGTGCTTGTGCCGGTTGACTGCTTTCTCTGTGTTCGAAAGAAAGAATTTCTCAGCTCGTTCGGATGGTAGCTTGAACCGTGTTTTTTATCGTTTCGGATGATTACGGATGATTAAATAGTATTCTGTGAGAGAGAATAAGTTAAAACAAGCTGAAACAAGCTAGGACTATACCAGCCGAACGTGTTGTCTAAGTACAAAAATTTATTTCTAAAAGAATCAATTTCTGAAGAGGAACGATCCACGGATCCACGTTAATCTCTCTCGTAGTCTGGCTCTTATTCAACATAACCTCTCTCCTGCGCTGTTATTGATACTCCAAAGGACACTACTTAATTAGGTTTCTCGGTAACTAGAGAGTTATATTAGGTTCAGCAGTTTAATGAGGGGCAGTATGGTCTTTTATCTTCGTTGCTAATTTGTCCTAAAATTGCTAGGAATTCATTCTTTCAGAGACAGAGGGAGTACGACACTGCAGATTTTCCGTGCATTTGCAGGTGGATCTTCCCAAAGTTTAGGAATACTTGGGTACAACTTAGGTCTTGGTTGACTCCTCTCCAGCTCCTATAGAGGAGTTTTTCTAAATGGTTTAATCGGAAGAATTGTTTGAGATCGTTTTCCATTAAAAAAAAGGAGTCGGAGCCATTCTGGAGAAGTCTCCATAAAAGCCCTTGGAAAGGAGCTCTCCCAAACACGCCCTTACAGATCATTGGGATTTCGAGACCTTGCTGATCATGGAGACAGCCACACATTTCATGCAACCGTATAAAACATTTTTCATCGGCGTGCTCTATCGCTCATGAGGAAGGCTACCGAGAGGACACACGGAGGGAGGGTGCGGGGGAGGGCGTGCTTATGGGAAGGGTGTGGCGGTGGCGGAGGTGACGAGAGGATGGGGCTCTAGCGAGGGCACCAAGAAGAGTGTGTCGATGGCGGAGGCAATAGAGAGAGTAGAGCTCAAACAAGAGGGCAAGAGGAAGAGCTAGAGGGCCAATTACGGAGATCGGTGCTATGTCCAAATTCATCATAAACCTCATTATGATAACATACAAATAAACTCTAAGATGTTGAATACATAGCTCTGTATGGTATATATTTGTTCTCTCCTCTTAAATTTCCATATCTCGTCAACAATGACGCGTACTCCCTTCGTACCAAATTATAAATCAACTTTCTTTTTTGACATCTCAAGTTTGATCAAATTTACATAATAAAATAGTAACGTTTATGATACCATATAAGTATTATTAGATTCTTCATTAATTATATTTTTATAGTATTCCAAAAAATGTTTGTAGCTGTCACTATAATTTTGATCAAACTTGAGATACTTTGATTCTAAAAAAAAATTAAAATAACTTATAATTTGGAACGAAGTGAGTATTATATACTCCTTTCTCCCCAAAAAATTATTACTCTCTAAGAGTCAAAGAATATGAAGTTTGATTAACTTTATATAGAAAATACTAACATTTATAATACCGAATAAGTATCATTAATCAATTATAGAATATATTCTCTCAGTAAACTAAATTAGCGATATAAATATTGATATCTTTTCTATAAACTCAATTAATAAATTTATAACAGTTTGACTTATCTAAAACCTAGATTGTTTTTGGCCTTTTTTTTTTTTGGGGGGGGGGGGGGGGGGGCGGACGGGACGGGACGGAAGGAGGCGTATGTTACCGTGCACTGAGAATACCTTGTATTTGCATACGGTGCGTGTCGGTCGCACCCCACAAGTTCATTGCTGCACTCGCTTAGCTTTGGTAGTACTTGCTTGAGGATCGGACTTGCAACGTGACGTATTTCAACCTCTCCTCGATGCTGACGGCCTAACTACTCCACATTATCAACTTGCTATATAGACCCTGTTCAGATGGTATGGTTCTAAAGAAATTTATGAGAGGAAGACACATGTAAAAAGAAGCGGTTCAAACCGGGTTCAACGACACGCGAACGGGCCGTAAAGTATACTCGGCGGCGACATGGACATGGTGCCACTTCGCCGGGAAGGCAGGGCTTCCTCACTTGCCACCCCCGCCCGCTTGCTTGCCGCTGCCGCCGCCGGCCCACTTGGGGCCCCTGCCTGTTACCATCACAATTCACAGGCACTGCAAAAATCGCATAAGCCTTTTGTGCTATCATTGCTTCCTTTCCGACGAGCAGGATTGCAGGAAGGACTGCGTCGGCGTCGCTGCTTGCTGGTGCCGGACAAGAACGAACGGACGGTGGCGCTGGCGCTGATCAGTGAGCAGTGGGAAATGCTTGACACAGCAGGCGGGCAGGGGATGTGGACAAGTGGTCGGTCGTGCTGTGAAAAAATCTGGGCCGATAAGCACGGTGGGTTAGAAAGAAAATGCAGTCATTCAGACGCTTCGAGTGTTCCGCATGCTGGTGCCGGCTCGCTCGGGCAGCTGGTGGTTCACAGAAGCAGCCACACCACGCGGTCGTGCTCCATTTCTTATTGCTGCTGCTTTTGAGGGGTTTTGGTGGTGGTCGACCAACAGAAATCGGGTCAGATTGGGTCGCGCAAAAGGATCTTCTTGGTTGTTGCCCACTCTACTCGTGCTCTAGTCCCCGAGAATGTTTGTTGTTGCAGATCGGTCCACGCGCTCCATGCGAGTGCGGTCGAGCTAACTTGAGACACGCTTGGAAGGCAGAAAACATAGGGGCTTCTTGGAACCTTTGCTCGCCTTGCCTTGCCTACCTAGCCTCGACTCACCTCACCCAGCAAAGCAAGATGGGTTTGATTTCTCTGTTTAGTTTCCCTTGCTCTCGTGTTCTCGTGTTCCTCTCTTCTACATTCGATGAGAGAATAAGGCCCGATTAGTTTCGGATTCTTAAAAACTAGTTTTTGCCTCTCGTTTATAAAATCTAGATTTTGAGCAAAAGCTAGTGAGAGTGTTTGGTTCCTCCAGTTTTTAAGAATCTGAGCTAGCTATCAACAGTTTTCTAGTTTTTAAGAACCTGGCAAAAACTAGCATAAAAACTAGCAGAAACTAGAAGATCCAAATAGGACCTAATATATGTATTGGTAATGTCTGTTTCAACATTCAAGTTGAACGTCAGATTGATCTTTAACATTAAACTACGAAAACCAGGTATCGAACGTCCTTAACTGTTAAAACAACACAAATTATGTACATATATCTATATCCATATAGATATGCTCTACAGAGATCGTAGACATATACTTACATTTATAGATAGGAGTGTGAGGCAATAAAGTAAAAAAGAATGTAAGGATCAATGTCGTGTAAGACTGTACGAGGAGGTCAAGCAACAAAGATAACATCACAACAAGCAATTTCATGTCTCCAATTTTCGTTGTAATGTTACCATACAACGATGAAACATGCCTTATTTTAGTTTTGCTCTTTTTGAGAACAACAAATTTTTTTTGTATATTATCTTGATCATGAACTAATTCTATTTTTCCTAATTAAGATGCATCTTTTGCTTTTTCATCAAAGAGAAAAAAAACCTTATTTTCATTAAATTAACTGACGTGAGAAATAAACTTATATTGATAGGTGAAGAGGAAAAGAGGAATAAGGCTTTGTTATCTAGAAAAATGAATGCATTCAGGTTTCTAGTCTATATATTGGTAATTGATGAACATAAGGACATGTGCCTAAATTTGTTTTGCAATGATTAGAACAAATGGTTAGTCACATTAAGACACTTGGTTTTCTTAACCCAGATGATTGGATTCTTTAATTTTTATGGGAAGGATATTCTTGAAGGTTAAGGACACAGTAGTGTCTAAGTGCAACTTGGTATTAAAGCACTTAAACTTAGCATTAGGGTTTTCATTTTTCTTTGGCCATATCATTTTTTTTTTTGTTTGAAACCCGTTAATCTGGAGTGAAGAGTATTCCTAGTGGACCTTGAGCCTTTGTGACTCAATGAAGTTCAACCTTTTAGTGGGTGCTACATCATGGATCAAAGGATAATGGCAACTATCCGATATCATCAGAAAATTCAGTTGCCAGTTATCCCCTCTTTACTTCCATGATGAGGTTTTTGGGGCATGCTTGGTTCTATGCCTAGCATTGTGCTACCTTATGTAGCCAGGATCGTGATTGAACTGTGCATTTGGATATAAGCAAGTTATTTGGGACTCAGAGAGCTTTTTGACGCTGATGCTCTTGCTTGCTCAAGCGAGCCAAATCGGCTCGCCCGGCCGAGCAAACTCCTCGTTGCTGGCGTTAGTGAGGCGAGGTGAGCTTGGAACTAAACATGACCTCAATTGTTGCTTATCTTACTGTGTGTTGTAATTGTTGTGCAAAGTTTAGTGTTATCATCTAAGTTTCTTTCTTGTAAACTTTCTTAGTACATATAGTTTTTGTGATGGCTCTTTTATTTTTCGCAAATCTCTTATACACACGCACATATATTGATATATCTGGTGAGTAGGTTAAACCGAGATGCATAACACAAGATAAGATAAGCCAAATTCTACTACGTTGACAAAGTTTGTCTAACTTTCTCTTGAAAGGAAATTAAAAAAAAACTTTCTCTCGAAAGTTGAACGGGTCATAAGCTAAGCAACCATTAAGCGAGGGAAACTTTACTACTCGAGTTTAAGTTTTTAACTTGCCGCAGGTGATTGTATT